TCATTCTCCCCACTGCAGGTCACACAATTCTTTAATTCTGTGAACACAGTTACTTAAATCCAACATCAGGGCTCACTTGGAATCAGTTTCCTAAGTATGACTCACACTTAACTGTTTTTTGTTTTGTTTTGTTTTGTTTGTTTTGCACATCTAGTAGTTTTCAGTTAAAAAAGCAGAATTGCGGATAATTTGTTGTAGAGGATTCCATTTTGTTTACACCTAAGGGTTTTGCTGTAGTTGAAATTAATTAGTCTGGACTCAACTGTGACATCTGTCCCCCAACAGGGTGAAGCACTGATGTCTCTGCTCAATCACTAATTTACTAGCCTGCCCCTGAGGGCATCCGTGAACCTGTGCAGTTCAGCAGTCCCTGAAATTTGGGTACATCTTATAGTCAGATTGCAGGGCTCACCTACTCTGTGGTTATCTTTGTTTCCAGGATTCCCCAGCCTAAATTTCCATTTGCTATACTAGCCCTGAATTCTTTCCCTAAATACATGAATTCAGTCAGGCTCTTGATGTTTGCCACCCAAGCTGTGTGCACCCTGGGGAACATGCTCTGTCAAAGGTGCAGTAAATTTGTGAATCTCCCTAGAAATTCTCTCTCAGAGGTTCACTATCCCCTGGTTTTGCCAGCAATTTTGCTGGACTCTGCATGTGACCTCTAAACTTAGAAGTCATCCAGGGCAGAGATTTATTTTACTTTACTTCATTTCATTCATTTATTTTTAGAGCTTCTATTTTAGATCTCAGCCCTTTCTGTGGCTGTTCTGCTTCCAAAATATACCCCTTAAACGTCCATCGGCTTTATCTCTGACCTTTGTCATTACCACCTGGATCTAGTAAGGATGCAGCTCTCTGCCACCAGATCTTAGGGGGGCTTGGAGCACAAAAGAAAGCAAGAAAGCTCTTAACTCCCAGTTCTTATCCAATCAGAAGAAACCTTCTATAGTAAACTCTTCTCACCTACCTGTGGTCATCTTCCAGAACCTTCCAGTAGTTTTGGTTTTGTTTTGTTTTTGTTTTTTTTTTGTTTTTTTTTTTTTATAATCTGGCCACTGTTTATCATTGTTATCTGCTAGAGAAACTATCTGACCTCTTCAGGTGGCCATTACCTGAAGTTGTTTCATTGGCCTCATGTCCTGCCTTCCTGCTTCCACCCTCCCTTTCTGATAGGCTCTTTTCCACACAGAAGCCAGAGTCATCCCTTTAAAACATAAATCACGAATCACATCTGCCATAAAATCCTTGAAGAGCATTCCATTTCACTCGGAGTAAAGGCCAAGCCATCATATGGCCTGCAAAGTCCTATATAAAGTTGCCCCAAACCACCTCTCAAACCTTAGCTCTTACCAGTCTCACCTAGACCATTCTCCTGTGCTTCCAACAACACGTTGCACACTCCAGCTTGGATATCTGGTCTTCACTTGGCCTAAAACACTCTTCCCTCACTTAGCTGCACGACTGGCTCCCCTCACTTTCTCCAAGTTTCTGTTCTAATTTTGTCTTGCGAGAGAAGACTTCCCTGCTTACCCAATCTAAAAGGGCATTTCTCTCTACTACACTGTCCATCATCTTCACATCTCCTTCCTTGCTTTGCTTTTCCTCACTGTATTTACTGCCGCTTGATCTCACTTATTTACACAGATATGTGTATACAAATATATATGTACATGTACATATGTATCATATAAACATACGGTCACTATGGATCTACTCTCACTTAAACATAAGCTCTATGTGGCTGGAATTTTGTTGCCTCCAGTATCATAACTGTAGGGCCTAGAACAGAGCCTGGTAGGCAGAAGGTAGTCAATAAACATGAGCCAAATAGACGAACTGGTTAAAGTGCTGCTATCCGTTAGGCATTATTGTGTCAACTCATGTTACTTTCCTTGTACCCCATCAATAGGCATCATAATTATCCCTATTACAGATAAAGAATCAAAGCACAGAGAGTTGAAGTCCAAGTTAACAAAATTAACCAGAAGTTGAGCCAGGATCTGAACCCTGCAGTCCTGTGTGCAAAGCCCACTGCAGTACTCTGCTCTGGCTATCATAACCAAGTATCAGACTGAGTGGCTTAAACCACAGAAGTTTCTTTTTTCACAGTTCTGGAAGTTGGAGGATGGAGGTTCCTGATGAAACTTCTATCCTTGGCTTGCAGATGGCTGCCTTCTCAGTGTGTTCTCATATAGTTTCTCCCTGTGTGCGCCCTCCCGAGGTCTCTTCCTTTCCTTCCTTTCCTTCCTGCTGGATTAGGGTGCTACCTCTACTGATGTCATTTAATCTGAATTGCCTCCTTAAAGGCCCTACCTCCAAATACAGTCGCAGTGGGGGGTTAGGATTCTGGCACTCGAATTTTTTTTTTTTTTTTTGGCACTCGAATTTTTTTTTGGGGGGGGAGTCCAATGCAATCCATAACACCTGTCATATATACCCATAAAATATAATTATTTTCCACATCTTTCCTTTTTATTTTAGAGAATTAAGGTTTTTTTTTTTCTTTCTTTCTTAGTTCTTTTTAGCTGGATGGTGGAGAAGAAATTTGCGGGAGGCTGACCAGGCCGTAACATTACCTGGCGAATGAAATCTACCAAAATAGCTACCGGAAGATCTTCAGAAACAACTTGGTCTCATAAAACACCAAGTGATTAGGTCAAACATCTGCTAGTGTACTTTCACACACTGCCCATTAACTCACTGCAGCTCTGGGAATCGTTTTTCTGTGTCTCCTCATACATAATCAGCAGAAAATACTTATTGCGAGTCCCTGGTGGAAATCCATTCGAGTCTCCTCAATCCTCCCCAAACATTACCATGCATGCTTCCACCCCAGGCCCTTTGTACTTCTCGCTCTGCCTGTGATGCTTCCCTTCCGGGGAGCTTCGGCACTCATTTTTCTCCTTATCCAGGTTTCTTTTCTAGAGTTACCTACGTAATTTCTTGCTGGAACAGCCTATTTAAAGCTGCAAGCACACTTTCCTCCTGCACTTCCCGTATTTATTCCTCCCTTTCTACACTTGATCTTTCTCTGCAGTATCAAAAAACTGTCTCTTCCTTCTGGAATGCAAGCAAGATGAAGGCAGGGGTTACCGTTAGATTCGCTGCTGTTTCCCTAGCTCCTAGGAAAGTGCCACCGCACAGCAGACCCTTCGTTAATGTTTGCTGAATGAACGAAATTCCCCCACGGTGACAGAGCTAATAAGCGATAAAAATGGAGTTTGAACCGCATCTGAACAAGTCTAAAACTTTAACCGCTAAACTATACTGTACACAGCAACCGTGTGGTGTGAGCTTTAGTGAGGTGGGAATAGTCAAGGAACAAAGACTGCTCTTCTCTGACACTAACAGAGCTCACACAGTGACAGAGAAAATGTCGGTCCTTAATCTTCTCGTGAACAAGAACCAACATTCCTTACAAGCACGACTTATGAAATCTCATTCTTTTTAACACCAAAGGCAGCTGAGCATTTGTGCGGCTGAATAGTTTGTATGAAAGTCTGCAGGGCCAGAAACTTTTCCAAAGCGAACGACAGTGCAGTCAGCGTTCCACTGTTAAACAAATGGGGAAAAAGTCGGTTGTAAGGTTTTCCCAAAAGGCAGCAGCAGCCTCTCTCCCAGCGCAGGGGTGAGTAGGCAGGCGGGGCCGCGCCCACCGCCGCCGAGTCCTGCTGCTTAGGCCGCGCCGGGGCACCGTGCGGGGGGTTCGGCGGCGGCGGCGGCGGCGGCGGCGGCGGCGGCGGGCACGACGGTCCTCACGTTCTTAAAGGGGAAACGATTAAAAGCAAAACCAAACAGAACAAGAACCGAGGAATGCATGCGGGCCGTGTAGACGGCGGCTCTGCGCGAACGGCGTCCGGGCTCGGTAGCCGGCTCCCGAGGCCTCCTGGCGGACTCGTCGCGGCGGCGGCCCCGGGGCGCCCCTCGGTGGCCGGGCCCCCCAAGCGGCAGGCTCCGAGCCGCGGGGCCACGGCGGGGGGCCCCGCAGGGCAGCCCCGGGCTTCAGGTCTCCCTCCCCGCGCTCTGCTCTTCGGGGAGCCAACGCGGCTCCGTCAGGCGGTCACTCCACGAACGCAGCGGGGCACGCGAGGGCTGCCCGGCGTCGCGCGGAGCGGTCAGTGCCGGGCCCCGCCGACCGGGCGGCGGCCCCGCCCGCAGCGCCCCGGGGAGCCCCCGGCCCGGCCCGCGTCCTGCCGCCCGGCCCCAGGGGCCGGCACGTGGCCCCTGCCCGCTCCCTCAGAACGAACTCACCTCCGGAGCCCTGAGCTGCTCGAGGCCACGGCCCCGGGGCGCGGACGCCAGGCCCCGCGGCGACCCCCGCGCCGTTCCCCGCGCCGTTCCCCGCAGCCGCACGACGCGGCCCCCGCAGTCCTCCTCGGCCCTCCGCGGCCTAAGGGGCCGCACCCCAACCCCGCTGCGCTCCCGACGGCGGCGGCGCCCCCAGCCCGCCCCGCCCCGCCCGCGTGCCCCCGGCCTCGGCGGCGCCCGGCCCGCGTGGCTCCCGACCCCCCGGAAAGGACGCAGCCTCCCCCACGATCACGCTTAACCGTTCCTGTTTTTTTTTTTCCCTCGGCCATTATCCTTATTTACTCATTTTTAAAAATGATTTTTTTATTTATCCAAGATAGACGTTATCGTCATTTAGAAATCCATCCTGCTGTGCTTTCCGCGCGCACCCGTCTCCCGCGCTTTCCGCGCGGAACCCAGAAGCGCTGCTTCGCGTGTTTCCCTCCGGTAAGGAAGGGAATCCCTGTCGGTCGGCTCGGATCTCCGCGCGACTTCAGGTTCTCTTTCCGGAACCTGGGGACCCACGGACAGGAAGGAGAGAGAACCCGGAAGAAGGTCCCGCGCCCACTCCGCCGTGCCCCCAACCCCACTTCCGCCGCCCCCGCCCGCCTCGCCGCACACCTGTTTCCGCTCTTCTTCCGCTAGCGAGACGCTTCTGTGGGCCGCACCGAGTCTCCGCTCCCTGCCCGCCCCGCCCACCTGCCGCTTACCTGAGGGACTCTCGGCTTCCGACAGGAGGCGCGCCTCTGAGACCCGGGCCGAGGCCTCGGCCTCGGCCTCGGCCTCCGCCGCTGACTTCCTCAGGACCCCCAGCACGGCCTCAGGGGGTAAACCGATCAGCTGCTCCCACACGGACTCCGTGTAAAAGTCCACCGTGTGTGCGTTGGAGATGGACAAGGCTTCCCGCAGGAACTGCAGCAGCTCCTGCAACTTGGCACGCAGCGCGAACAAGTCTTGGGTCACCGGGAGGGAGAAAGAAGCCGCCATAACGCTCACCCTCCCGGGCTGTAGGTGGCGCAAACGTGGCCGCACGGCGAGGCCTCGGTCGCAAGTGACACAGACCAGATCAGCGGAACGTCGATCTGGACGCGGGGGTGGAGGGTTGATTGCTTTCGTCTCGTGACGTATTTCAACAGCGTCCGTCGCGTTCCGGCGACGCGGGTGGTGCGCCATGGCGCCGGTGGGGCCGGCCGCGGGCTGGCCGCCGGGCGGTCTTGGGACGCGTAGCGCAAGAGCGTCTTGGGCCGGGTTCAGGAGCAAGGATGCGAAGCAGAGGCCGTGGCGGTCGAACCATCCGCAGGCGTTTCAGGGGAGCGTTCGCGAGGGTAGGTCCCCAGGCCCGCGGTCCGCTCGCTCCCCGCCGCAGCCGAAGATTCAGGAACGAGAGCCGGCCTCGGTTGGCGCAGAGGAAGCCATGGCGAACCCCCTAGAGCTGTGGGCCTCCCGGAGCTGCGAACGGGAGGATGAGCCCGGGCTGCTAACTCTGGGTCTTCGAGCGTCGTCCCCGACTTGCCCCCCTCCTCGATCAGAATTGCCTTCCTCTGCGGCTTCCGTGTGCGGCCGCACGCACCGCGCCTGCGGGTCCCTGCGGGCACGTGTTAGGGTGGAGGGTCGGAAGGCGGGGCTGGGCAGCCCGGGGCGGGCGTGAGCCCGGCTCCCGCGTCGAGTCCCGCGTCGGGCCTCCTGCCTGGAGCCTGCTTCCCCCTCTGCCCGTGTCTCTGCTTCTCCGTGTGTGTGTCTCATGAATAAATAAATAAAATATTTTTTTTCAAAAAAGGAACCAGGGGCACCTCGGTCAGTTAAGCATCCGACTCTTGATTTCAGGGGCGGCGAGATCAGAGGTCACGTCGGGCTCTGTGTTCGGCAGCGTCCACGCGGGACTCCCTCACCCTCTGCCCCCGCCTCTGCTCACACATGCCTGTAGGCGCACACACCCAAAGAGTTTTCTTTAAAAAACAAAAAACAAAGGAACCAAATTAACTAGTTACGCTACTACCTTTTTAAAAAAAATCCACCGTCATATATACTTATTATTTAAGAAAAGGTATAAAAGCAAAATCTCAAAGAAGTATATAAAACGTGCATACATGTCCATTCAAGGCTCTCTGTACCAAAGGCCAGCGCTCTTTCAAGTAAGCCTCTCTATATTTTGGGAACAAAGTCGCAAAATTGCCCTCCTCCAAGAGCCCTCTGGGATTGTCCTCTTTAGAAAAAGCCGGTTCCTTCCAACCGTCAGGAACAGTGAGGAGCTCGCGTTTATCTAAAGAGGAGAAGCAGCTTACACGTGAGATTCTACCCTTCTTGTGGACACTTTTGAAAATGCTTATATGCGGGATCCCCGGGTGATTCAGCGGTTTAGCGCCACCTTCAGGGCGTGATCCTGGAGTCTTGGGATCGAGTCCCGCATCGGGCATGGCTGGAGACGCGCTGTCCCCGTTCTTTGCTGATTACAAATATCCCAGAGCTTTCCAGCCTTCTCTCACTGACCTTCCTTTATTTCGCTTTCGTTTGTGCTTTTATTTGTCTTGCTGTCAACAAGTTTCCTCAAATTCCATTTAAAATGTATAAGTCTTAAGTTCAGCTTTCTCATCGCTGCTGGAAGTCGCACACTGTCTTCTCACTCCTGTACTGAATTACTTTAGAAAGTCAGTCGTACGGCCGGTGTTTCTCTAAGGTCAAATAACGGATGTGGGTTTTCTTCTTAAGTGTCGAAGATCTGGAATGAGTGTTTGAGATAAAGAATTTGTTTGGATTCTGGGTACGGTAAGTCGGAGTCGTGCGGCGCGAGTCCTTTTCTGTTCTTTGGGATTCCCGCCGAGCATGCATGACTGATGTTAACCAAGTCTTTTTGCAAAGGACCAACGTACTGTTCACCACACACACCGCCCCCCCCCCCCCCCCAGACTCGTTTTCTTAGAATGACCTTTTAGGCAAATCCGTGTAATTCTAGTTTCTGAATGTGGTAATGTGAGAAGTTTTCCATTTTAAACTAACAGCTACATTTTTCATGCAACTCTCTTTCTGAGAAAGTAATTTATGGCTCATACTCTTTAACAGGACAAGGCTTTGCATTCCGAAGAAAACTGAAGATTCAGCAAAATTATAAGAAATTACAATGGAGGGAAAAGAAGGGTCAAACCCCTCAGGAATCCCAGTTCACAGATCGATACCCAGATCATCTGAAACACCTTTATTTAGCTGAAGAGGAAAGACTCCGGAAGCAAGTTAGAAAAGTTGAACAGCCTCTGTCAGAAGAACAAACTGATCAACCTTTGCCGCAGGAGCAATGTGACATCGACAAAGCCTCGTCAGAAGAACATTGTAGTGTTGAGCAGCCTCAGTCTGCAGAACAAGGTGGCATAAGAGTAAAGTATGTATTAACTTCCTTTCAAGTTCTTTGTTTTTTAAGAATAATTAAAGATTGATTAATTGATTTTAGAGAAAGAGCAAAAGGGAGGAGAAGAGAATCTCAGGCAGACTCCCAGCTGAGTGCAGAGCCCAACGTAGGGCTCAGTCTCAGGACCATGAGATCGATCATTATCTGAGCCAAAACCAAGAGTCAGAAGCTTAGCCGACTGAGTCATGTAGGCACCCTTCAAATCCTTAATTTTAGATGTAAGTAGTATTTTATCAAAGAGATTATAGGACAGTTTAAGGAATTGCAATCTTATTTCAAGGCATCATAGAAGTCAGAGTGGATTATGTGAAAATATTTTCAGGAAAGCTTTCTTTTTTAGCTGAAATGCATTAAGCTAGTTTATAGGTTAATGAGAGAAGTAATGAAATTGTTATTAAAAGATCTAGGTTTTGGATTTTAGTGTTTTGAGTATATTTAGCTTTTGGGGACCATGGTTGGCTCCTGTTACTAATCCATGTTTAAAATAAACAACTGTCTCTTGAGAGCTATTAAAGTGTAGTGGTTAATACCAGATTCTGGAGCTGGACTTAACATATTGGTGCCTGATGCCCTCTGAAATGGAAATAATGAAAGTACATAATCCAGAGCTGTCATGTTGTTACAACTCTCGAATAGATTATTCACATGGTCTCTATGGTGTTTCTGACCCATTTCATGATGTTGTGAAGAGTGAGTTCATTTCCATAAAAGGTGTATAGTACCTGGGAAGTGCTACATGGATGTTAACTGTTACTACTATTCTTGATTCTTTTTCCAGAGGACATAGACTTGGTGACCATTAAAAAGCAAATGGCATAGCTGTAGAACACTTTGGTTTTTTAAGAGCTACCTTACAAAGCTTTCTCTACACACATCTCAGGTTAAAAATGTATGTTGAAACCTAAACCAGCAGAGAATCCAGGTGTTACTTGAGACTGTAACTTTATAGTTCACTAAAATACTATTCTTTAAAGTTGTTAACTATTTGTGGTAAAAGTAATAGGAAATAATACCCTAGGAGAGAGTGTGGTGGAGATAGAGACAAAGACACTAAAAATTCAAAATTTTTTGGTCGGCTTGTGCATCATGTTATTTAATAATGGATGTAAAGCTCTGACAAATCTAGAAATGTAGATTTCAGTCATTCCTGGCAATAATTGAGGGAGGAGGGTTAAACCATAAGATGTGATCTGTAAGTGACCATCTTTTTTTTTTTTTAATTTTCTTAAAGGATTTATTTATTTATTTATTCATTCATTCATTCATTCATTCATTCATGAGAGACACAGAGAGAGAATGACAGAAAGGCAGAGACACAGGCAGAGGGAGAAGCAGGCTCCATGCAGGGAGCCCAACGTGGGACTCAATCCCAGGTCTCCAGGATCAGACCCTGGGCTGAAGGCAGCGCTAAACCACTGAGCCACCCGAGCTGCCCCATGACCATCATATTCTTAAAGTTTACTTATTTTGGGGTCAAAGCAGGAAAAAGTTAATAAGACTGTCATAATTGGAGAAAGGGGAATACAGAGAGTGAAGTCAGCAGAGGAAAGTTGTGCAAAGTAGAGGCTGGTCATCTATCAAATACTTAGTCCACACAAAACACGACTAAGACCAAGTCTTTGGATTTATGGCCTAAGTAATCATTGGTGACTTTGGAAAGATTTTAATGTATAAGCTTTTCTGAGTTTTTTGAGTGTACATCCATTTGGTGTCTGAATCCATGGTCATGGATATGACTGAAGAATGGAGACCAAGAAGAGAAACACTTGGGGAAAGGCCTGGAGCAAGGAAGGAAAAAATGATCAGGAGAGAAAAATGTTACTAGAACTAAGGGAGTATATTTGCAAAGGTAGTGAATGGTCAGTTAAGTGAGACTGAATAGTGTCCGTTGATTCAATCATTGTATTTGGCAAAAAGGTCATCACTGTCTTGGCATGGACTGTTTTATTGGAGAGAGCAAACGTGAGATGGCAAAGAGTTAAGGAGTGAATGTGAATAAAGAGTGTGAGGTGATGACTATAGCCTACGCACTATGCTTTCAAGATACTTGACTGTGAAAGGACAAGGAAAAGATTAGTCCTTGGTCAGAAGAGTACAGAGAGTCTGGTGATGAGTAATTTAAGCACTTGTTTAAGAAAGGAGCTGCTGAGGGATCCCTGGGTGGCGCAGCGGTTTAGCGCCTGCCTTTGGCTCAGGGCGCGATCCTGGAGACCCGGGATCGAATCCCACGTTGGGCTCCTGGTGCATGGAGCCTGCTTCTCCCTCTGCCCCTCTCTCTCTCTCTCTCTGTGGTGTGTGTGTGTGTGACTATCATAAATAAATAAAAATTAAAAAAAAAAAAAAAAAAGAAAGGAGCTGCTGGGCAGCCCGGGTGGCTCAGCGGTTTAGCGCCGCCTTCAGCCCAGGGCCTGATCCTGGAGACTGGGATCGAGTCCCACATCAGGCTCCCTGCATGGAGCCTGCTTCTCCCTCTGCCTGTGTCTCTGCCTCTCTCTCTCTCTCTCTCTCTCTCTCTCTCTGTGTGTGTGTCTCTCATGAGTAAATAAATAAAATCTTAAAAAAAAAGAAAGAAAAGAAAAAAGAAAAGAGCTGCTGAAATACGTTTTATTGTGGTTCTCAGTTGACGTAGTGAAAAGTTGAAGCTGATAAAGGAAGATTAATTGCTGAATCAGATAGTTTGAGGAAATGGTTGGAATCTGAGCCTGAGTAGTTGAATTAGGTTAGAGAGGGACACCAGAGAGGTGAGTACTTCAACAGGATGGAACAGTCCTAACTGCGGGCTGCCTTCAAGGTGTGGTCATTCGTGACTGAATAGATAAAGTAGAGACGGTCAGGGCACTTTGGGATTAAAGTTCGTGTCACCCATAACTTTTATAGTGTCCTTAAATTTAATGCCTTTTCAGTCTATCATTTGTGTCATTCTTGTGCTAGTTTCCTGTTAACATTTCAGATCTTTCAGAGGCTTTCTGTATTGTCCTTGGTTCAAATATTTCTTCAAGAGTCCCCATTTTCCACTTCGATGTGTTATATGGACATTTTACTAATAAGGTTGATGGCCTCTTTCTGCCAGCCTCTCTCCCCTGCTCTATCAATTTGCATCAGTGAGATTTTACTGTGGAAGTATTATATTTGATGTGAGTGCATCATAACTTCGGTTACATCACTTTTAATTATTTGACTTACATATCTTTATCTTAAAAAGTTCCTTTACCGTTTCAAAGAAAAATAAAAAGAAAACGTCAAATCAAAAAGCACGGGAAGCATATGAGCAAGTACAAGCTGAGCGTGCTGCTAAGAGACAGGTAAGACCTTTCAAAATACGTAGATTCTTTTTTTAATTTATTCTAAATGAAGATTATGTAAAGCTGTGCTTCTTAGTAAGTGCATATAATATGTTCTCTACAAGTACTTGCTGAATAAATGAGTAGTTTGAGCAGAGCTAGAGAATTCCAACAAATTCCTTGATCATTTATATTACCCTTGAGAAGAGATACTAGCAGATCAAGAATAGGATTTTAAAGACATTGCTCATAGGTTATGACATCTGGAACAGCGTTTTTCAAGAGTATGTATGGTCTGAGGACCTGCACTTTTTAAAAGTGCCTCAAGAAATTTTTATGTATAATAAAATTTGAGACCTACTGATCTGGGAAAATAATAGATGATTATCATAATTTTACATCGAAGCAAGTAAAAACCAGGAGGCATTAAAATAAATACTTTTTTCAAAAGAGTTGATCATGCGTATAAAAAAGCTTCCTAGATTATTTTTTTTTCTTTAAAGATTTTATTTATTTATTCATGATAGACACACACACAGAGAGAGAGAGAGAGAGAGGCAGAGACACAGGCAGAGGGAGAAGCAGGCTCCAAGCAGGGAGCCCGACGTGGGACTCAATCCTGGGACTCCAGGATCAGGCCCTGGGCCGAAGGCAGGCGCTAAACCACTGAGCCACCCAGGGATCCCCAGCTTCCTAGATTAACTTAGCAAAAAACTACCACTTTTTATTATCATTCAGAAATCCAAAATATAAGTCCTATTCAAGTGAGTATAATAAAAGTATATACAGCTTCGATAAAATTTAACTTGTGGTTTTTGTTTTTTGTATTGAAGCTATATTTATTGCCTTAAAAGAGGATAACACATCAATCAAAAACTACTTTAAAGATGGCACTGACATAATTTATTTTATGTCTTAGCTTTAGAATTTGTATAATTAAAAAATCTGGAAGTTTAACAACTAAATTTTCATGATTATTCTGAGACTGGTGGATTAGCATAAGCAGAAACATCTCTCTATGGAAATACTGGATATTTGTTTCATAGGTTTTGTTACATTATACTCTTTTCTAGCCACCCTTGTAAATAGTATGCCAGATAAGGCAAGTGCCATTATACAGTAAAGCATATATAGTATGCTTTAAATTTTTCTTTATAATTGACAGTTTTTTAGGACTTACAGATATCAAATGTCAGTATAAAAGCTAATACCCAATCCACAAGAAATCACATAAGCACCCATAGTAAATGGTAAGACCATTTAAAATTTTTTTTTTTTACTTTGTTTAGAGAAACTCCATAGAGGTAAACTAGACTATATATACCTAAATTCACAAATAGTTCCAGCTCTTTTGTACTTAATAAAATAAATGAAGTATTATACCATTGGAGAACGTAAGTTCGAGTGCTAATACAGACTGAATTCTTAAGATCTAGATACAAGACTTGGCTCTGCCAGGTATTTGGGTTTGGGGACAAGTCACTTTCAGTATCATTGAGCATCAGCTCCTCATCTGTAAGATGATGATAATAGCCTAGCATGAAAGTTTTATAAGAATGGAATGGAATGCTCTGATATGAAAGCCCTTTGATGATTATGTTACCATGCAAAACACGCTGTGTCATTTGGGAGCTGTATATGTTACCAGGGAGATTGAGAAACCGTATATGTATTGCATTATTTATGAACTTTCATTTAACTTTTATATTTAATTTAGTAGGAATGTTCTGCATTTCAAGTAGTACTTTTCAGGTTTATGTATAAATTTGAATTATTTTTCTTATGCTTAAATGAGTTTGAGTCTTTATCTCAGTAAATCAAACGAACATGATAATTCTTAATCAAAGTCATAATGCCTAGCAGTGTTTGGCCAGTGTATAGTCAGTAAATGTTTGCCGAATTAAAGCAGTTAGTAGACGGCAAATTAAAAAGAATACCAGTTATTCTGGAAGTGAAGGTTTTTGTATTATATGGAGTAGGTAATCTCTAAAGTCTCTTCTAGTTCTAGCAGATCTAATTAAACGAAGAAATCTTAAATATGCTTCCTTTCCTCTGCTCTAATTTTAGTTTTATCCAAAGAATTAAAAATGTAATAACTTTACATTATTCTATGTTATAGGATGCATTATAATATAAAGACAAAGAGTGACAACCCCTCCCATTTTGCAAAATATAAGACAATCCTAAAGCATTTGTGTGATAATTATTTCAATACAATTATTGAAACATATCTGCTGTCACTAATGGAAATTACATATGTTAATAATTTTAGGAATTCGAGAAGAGAAAACGAGAGAGAGAAGAAGCTCAAAGGCTCTATAAAAAGAAGAAAATGGAAGTATTCAAAATATTGAGCAAAAAGACTAAAAAGGGCCAACCAAACCTGAATTTACAAATGGAGTATCTTCTTAAAAAAATACAAGAGGATAATTAAATCAGATATGTTCTTAAAGGTTAAAATACTGCTCTCTATTGAGTTCTTTTGTATAGGTACTGTACCTCCTAACAGTTAACTAAATTTGTTAACATAAAATGGATTGTAAAGCTATACTAAGTATAAAATGTTCAGATATTTTTATTCTTGTGAAAGAAAATTTTCTACCTGATCCCTACATAGTATAATTTGTTTCTTATTGATTTGCCTTTGAAGGACAGTGGTCCAAAGAACTTTCTATTTGAACATATTTAAGCATGTAATATTTTTGTATCATGTGAAATTCAGATGAAATAAAATGTTTTGAAAATAAGGGAGCACAACTTTCAATGAATCATTTCAGTGAAATGTTTAAATTTATTAATCCCTAAGAGCAGGCTACATGGGTGCTGAAGCCATCTTCTACCATTAGCATATTACCATATGGTCTTTATATTTTCTTTTCTTTTCTTTTCTTTTTAAGATTTTATTTATCCATTCATGAGAGACACTGGCAGAGGGAAAAGCAGGCGCCTCACAAGTAGCCTGATGCGGGACTCGATCCCAGGACCAGGATCACAGTCTGAGCCAAAGGCAGAGGCTCAACTGCTGAGCCACCCAGACGTCCCATCACATGGTCTTTATAGAGTTTGGTGTAAGAATTCCATCTGGTATATTTATAAACTTTTTCTTAAGTGGAAGCAGATAGCTTGTTGGTGTCAAATCTTGAGTAATGATGGAAACTGAGCAGTGTCACAGCAATAATTAAGCTTTTCAGATTCTGTGGAACCCTATTAAGGAGGATGCTGTGACTGGACAACAGTGTTGTCTCCATTGGTACTTTCTGTGAGCTGAGGAAAAAGACTGGTGTACTGCTTCTCTGACCCCCTTACAATCACTGCAAAATGAGGAGGGCTTGTGTATCATCCCTAGAAACAAAAGGACAGTATGATAGTATTTGTAAAAAATTGTGTAATAAGATTTTATAAATGGAAACATGCAGCCTGGTACTGCATTAAGGTTTTAGGGAGCGCTGGTGCTCTACTGATCACTTGGCATTTAAAAGTGCATTTAGGAAATAAATAAAAATAAATAAATAAATAAAAATAAATAAATAAAGTGCATTTAGGAAGGGGATCCCTGGGTGGCTTATTGGTTGAGCGCCTGCCTTCAGCCCGGGACATGACCCTGGAGTCTGGGAATCGAGTCCCGCATCGGGCTCTCTGCATGGAGGCTGCTTCTCCTCTGTCTATGTCTCTTCCTCTCTTTGTGTCTCTCATGAATAAATAAATAAAATCTTAAAAAAAAAATGCATTAGGAGATGCTGAGGAAACCACTTACTAAAGAAGAGGAATTCTTTATTATGTAGAAAAACAGTGCTTAGAAATTTGCAATACATTATATTGCCTTTAAAACAAGCCAACCCCAAGAGCCTAAATATGGCTATATCAGTAGAGAGAATACATTGTGCAACTAAAATTTTTCAAATGCTGTAAGATGATTTCACGTGTGTTTTACCTCTAAACACTATCAAGATAAGACAGGGGAGACACTTTACCAGGATAGTACCAGGGAAGACATCTAGTACTTTTGAGAGATGAGCAAAAAATAGAGTTCATTTTCAAAATGCTGTTGAGTAGCTGCTATGAGCAGTGCAAGGTCCACGTTAAGGAATTAGTCTTTTTTTTTTTTTAAGATTTTATTTATTCATTCATGAGAGACACAGAGAGAGGCAGAGACACAGGCAGAGGGCGAAACAGGCATCATACAGAGAGCCTGACGTGGGACTCGATCCAGGGTCCCCAGGATCACGCCCTGGGCTGCAGGCATTGCCAAACCGCTGTGCCACCGGGGCTGCCCAAGGAATTAGTCTTAAAGAAAGAATTCCTTCTCCAACTTAATGGTAAATACCAAATAAAAAACATCATAGGACAAAAGTAATCTGTGATGATTAGGTACAAAAAAAGAGGTTCAGACTTCACCAGGGAATCCCCCACCCACAGAACTTCTTTCAAGGCACATTCAAGGGTCCTACTTCCAAGGTTTGGATCGTATCTGTGGGCTCACTAACATGTTTTCACAGCTCATGATTCTGTTGTGGATGGCCCTCAGAACATTTTCCGCAGCATCGGACAAATGCTGAGAGATTTCATGTGGTTGAAATTAGAGATAATTTTATGGATGAGACTGTGGGAAAAGGTTTTAAGGGTGAGAAGTGAAGACAGCATGAGGAAAAGACGAAGGAAAGAAAGCCTGGGGTATATGTAAAAGTTTATTTAAAAGTCTTAAAAATAGTTCTGTGTATTTTATTACGAATGGGAGCTAATTCTTCCTATCCATTGCTGATGTTTTCTTCCCTGCACCCTCAGCCTAGAACTCATGGTCTCCTTGCTCTTCTTAATTTTTCTGCCCAGCAAAGTAGTGACTTAGCTAAGTGGTATTTTGGGGAGAACACCTGGCCTGCCTGCACAGTGCATATAATCTTGATTACTATTACACCGAAATTGTAAAGAACAGGCAGTATGGATGAAGGGTAGGAGGGAGAGGACATGGAGGCAGAGCAGAGGAGAGGCCTGTGTTTGGGGGAATGTGACATCTAAAACCAATTTGTGCTGCCTGGGTCCGTACATCAAGAAATAAAACAAGAAGTGCAGCAGCTTTGGGTGGCCGGAGCTTGTAGTTTTAACCCTCAAACTTAAATACAGACGCAGGGGATTTTGATCTTGGCAGTTTGCAGAGGCTTATACTGGACCGTTAATCTGATTTTTTTTTTTTTTAAGATTTTATTTATTCGTGAGAGAGAGAGAGGCAGAGGGAGAAGCAGGCTCCATGCAGGGAGCCTGACATGGGACTCTATCCTGCGTCTCCAGGATCACGCCCTGGGCCAAAGTCAGCGCCAAACCACTGAGCCACTCTGGCTGCCCCGTTAATCTGATTTTTAAAAATATGCAGTAGGCTTTTAATTGCTGCCATTTGGGCGAGATACTTTAAGCCTTACGGCACATGGGATTTTGAGCTGAAGTTCAGGGTAGCTTCACCTATAGAAAATTGGATATTTCTACAGAGGCAGAGTGGACTATTGAGCCTCAAGTAGAAGTTGTACCGGCCTCAACAAAGAAGCAGGGTGGGGAGTGGGAATGGTAGACACCCAACCTTCAGCAAAGGCTCAGAATGTGGGAGCGGGCTCACCCAGAAACTGGCCTCATGCATGGCCTCAGCTAATGCCAGCCAAGATGAGGCTCAGTGAGTCACCCTGGCGGTGCTGGTATTAAAGGAATTGGCAAGTGCAGGTAGCAGGTGCAGGCAGGCCACTACAGCTTGACCTTGCACTATATTTAAACTATGTGTGAGCCTCAGGAACCTCTTCAGAGGCTGCAGCAACACTAGAAAGCAACCTCATTTAGGATTTAATGATAGAAAAAATATGCTAAACTGACTATATCAGTGTTTGCTGCTCTTCAAGGCAGAGGACTTCTATGCAATACAGTTTTCTACATCCCCATGACTTATTTTATAACTGGATATCTGTATCTTTTTACTCCATTCATCCTCTCCCACCTGACACTTGATTTGATATAGTTTATAGGTGGATTTTATTTTATTTTATTTTATATTTTTAAAGATCGTATTTATTTATTCATCAGACACAAGAAAGAGAGGCAGAGACACAGGCAGAGGGAGAAGCAGGCTCCATGCAGGGAGCCCGACGCAGGACTCAATCCCAGGACCCCGAGATCACACCCTGAGCCAAAGGCAGGCAGGCGCTCAACCACTGAGCCACCCAGGTATCCCAAGATGGATTTTATCTTAAAAATGACAAAGGCATCCACTCTTATTGTGTCTACTGAAAATACAGCCATTAAAGCAGCTCCATTACATACATTAGATCTTCCCAGGTAGCGGAAGCAATAGCTCTGACCGAGGCAGAGGAAGATAAAATGATAGTAGGTATGATTTTACAGTTGTGATTTAGAAATGCTGTGAAACCTGAAGGATTTATAACTTCAGATACATTGACTAATGGTAAGAAAGATATTGATGACTTAGCGGAAGCTATTCAACACTCACAAGGCAACGGTGGTTAAGGAGGTAGAAGTGCATACAGACCAAAAGCCGGTGGCAATGCCCTCGCAATGCAACATGCTAAATGAGCATCTCTTAACCGTCTGAGCTGTAGGAGATACCTCTACGTTGAGGTCTCCCCCCCACTAAACTTCCAGACAGATCATTTTCTCAGTTTAAGCAGGCTGCCATCATCTCCCAGCAGCTAGATCCACCTGAAAGACAGAATTGGCCATCAGGGAGATGGAAGCCAGAAGTCTGAAATCAGGGTGTTGAAGGGCCATGCTCTCTGGGAAGGGTCTGGTCCAGGTCTCTCTTCTAGCTCTACTGGTTCCTTGGCTTATGGCAGCGTAACTCCAGTCTTCACATGCTGTTCTCTCTGCGTGCCTGTCTCTGTGTCCAAAGTTCCCTTTTTTATAAGGATGCTGATTAGGTCTAGTAGGATTCCTCCCAGTTATCTCATTTTACCTTGATCAGCTCTATAAAGACCCTCTTTCAAGGCCACATTCTGAGGTCATGGGGATAAGAATCCAATGTATCTTTTATGGGGGACACGATTCAACCCATAACACATATCATCATAAAAATGCTATACAACATTTCTGGAACACCAAGTCTATTCTTTCTATGGGTTCACGTGTCACCGCACAAATGACCAACCCACATCGGTGGATTTCCACTCACATGATTCCTTAAACTGAGGCTAAGTCAAAAAAGTCTCTAGAAGCAGACAGTTTCAAAAACAGTCTGAACCGAAGGTAACAACGGATGTGAAGCAAGCCCATGCCTGACAAAATAAGACATAGCACAATGATTTTTTTTTAATCTTTCACTTTTTGTACTTCTTGTTCTGGTATTCTTTAGTGATTTAACCCAAATAACCCGAACAGATCGTTTTCTGTCAGCATAGCTGAATTTAACCATATTCAGTTCTTGGTATATTCGAAATACATGGTTACAGTTAGCCTGTGCATTTCCAATAGCTTTAAATTACAAAAATGGCTGGGTCTGTGGGAATGTCTCTTTTTACACGCAGAAAGTCTCCAAGCTACCAGGCAATCATCCTTGTAATTCTCAGTTATTATGCACAGGCACCGGTGATTGCTGTGGTCCCTGATGGCCAGACCACAGGAGGTTTGTGATACCATTCCTGTGGTCCTCTGTAGAGGCCAGTTTACCTGGTCAAAATCCACACAGGTCATGGGGTCTGAGTGGGGACTGACTTTCCAGTGTGTGTCACTTTCAGTAATGTTCGAGAGATGAAAAATAATG